CGGTCTTCTAAAGGCACTTTCAGAGGGAAGAAAAAGGAGCGCATTGATCTTGCTTGGAGCATCTCAGCAGCTGTAGAGATTGACTGTGCCAATGTCCCTCAGATTAAATTTCCCTCTGTAGTGCGACCATCTCTAGGCACTCTCTCCATCACCGCCATTGGTCTAACTCCTTATTTCCCTCCAGCTACAAGGCAAGGGCCAGTGGGGATCAAGGGAGACCCACAGGAACAGGCCACCAAAACTTCAGCAGTGCTTTACACTTCCTAGCAGGACAGATGAGCAAAGGAGCTGCCTGGCATGAAACAACTACTTTAATCTTTTTCCTTTAGAGTTTTCTTCCCTATTTACAAAGAGTGAGGCCCCATGGTGCAGCATACATACAGAAAAGGTCCCTCCCACCATACTTACACCTCCTTTATCCCTCTAAGTGTTTTACCCATTACCACAGCAGCTGAATTATTTCTGCATAAATTTGATTAAGTTTCCACCACTCCTTTCTTTCCAGTCTCATAACCCTATTTAGCACTGGTTTGCAGGAAAAGCGGGGACACAGGAAGAGAAGTCCTTTAAATAACTCGATGGCAAAAGTCCGGTGAAGTTCATGGGACTCCAGTGGAGATAAGGATTTTGTCCATTCAGAGTTAACAGCAGCAGTGGCAACTGAAAAAAGGCAGCGGCTGGGAAAAGGATGTATTTCTCAGCCTTGCTTGCAGATAAGGAAGTGAGATTCCAAGAGGAAAGAGCGATTTACCCACAGTCACACAGGAAATCAGCAAGATATGGAAATTAATGCTGAGAAGCATTTAGTGCCTTAATCATAAAGCCAATCTTTTCCCTCAAATGCCAACAGTATTAAATGTTCCCTTTCAATGATGGAATAAGCACGGGAGTTTCACTGACTCAGAGTAACGTTTCCATTTAAAATTTTTAGAGGGTTGCCACTAGTTAAAAGGGTCAGTCAACATTACAACCTATGCCCTGTGCACCAGCAAGAATATGAAGAATGGGAACCGTAGTCCAACTAAGTAAGTTTACCTGTGAAATTCCTTTAAGGGTCAAGCCACACTAAGGTCTGAAAGTGGAAGGTCAAAAAGTAATGCTTTTTTTTTTTATATATATTTACCAATAATTATATAGGCTTTGAAATACATAGACTGAAATACTCTCTTGCTAGGAAACTATTAAACTGTTAGGCTGGGAGAATATATTGCTTAGAAAAGGAAAGATTCACATCCCTTGTCTACTAATAAATCACTTGTACATCATCTATCTACTTGACTGTCTCTGAGTAGTATTTATATCAGCATGGTATCTAGGTAGCCGTCCAGATAAGCACACTTAGTAATACCTATAAAGAGGTAATAGTCTGGACCAGAGTTTGTTTTTATTTAAACTACCTTGAATTCATTGTGGCTTAATTGAAAATAATGGTGTTAAAGCAGTGATCAAAGAATTGTCTCGTTAATCGTCTACTAAATCATTATCTATTAAACAGAAATAAAAGGTTAAGAATGCAACACTTTCTGTTCTACCCAAAAGAATATGAATATCTCTCCAATTACAGAGAAACAATAAAGCCAGAATTAACAGTGAAAAGAAGCTCAGGATTAGGCAATTACATCCAAAATGCCTGACAACTCTTATTAGAGGGTTTAGCAGTACGACCTATATAGAAAAGGTAACACAAATCTGGAAGTAAAAGTCAATACTGACTTTGCTAAAGGGGCTTGTGAAGGAGGTATGCATTTTTCTGAAAAAATATAGGCACATAAACCCTGTATTAAATTTAACTTGAATAATTAATTGTAATGGATTCAATCTTGCAACCAATATATATATTTCCAGTTAAAAAATTATGCCTGAATAGCATTCAGTCTGATAGCCTCTCTCAGTAATTTAGGACTGAAATCCATTATAAGGATGCTGTAATTTTCACAAAAATAACATTACCCCCATTTTGAAACCTTTTATATCACTAGGATGAGGCAAGATGAACTCGGTGAAGACCACATTCAGACCTCTTGGTTTTGTTCATTAAATCAATGTATTAGAGTACCAGGTCTGGAAAAAGAGTCCCACAGGCATTCTCTGCTGTCAGGTGATGTGATGCCCAGATAATTTCACAAAGCAGGCAAATGAAGACTTGGTTTATATCCAACTTAGTCGCTAAGAAAGGAAGGGAAATATAGTGCAAATCCTGTAAAACCTGCGTAGATTTTTGGCCTGTGTCTTGGTCTGCTCTATCCAAAGTCATTGAAAGGAATGGGAAGACACTCATCAACTTGAAGGTCCTTTGGAGCAGGTCTTTAATTCCACCTAAAAATACAACCCATTTTGAAAAAGCAAGAAAGGAAGGTGGTCAGAGGGCAAGAGCTTTGCTTTCTCAAAGTGTATAAATTCACAACTGCCATAGGAAATCTTGTCTCTGCTCACAGAGGTCATGTCAAGCCTTATTTAGTTGCCAACTCCAGCAGACCTTTTAAATTTGGGAACCAGAACAACTTCATGCCAAGCTTTGACAGTATACCGATATGGAGGACTGCTGCTTGAACTAAATGGATTTTAAATGGGCAGGATTTTGAAGTGCAACTCTCCCCGAAGTCTGCAGATGTTAATTTTATTAGTGGAAGAGGAAGGGGAGTCCTTCTCCTGACCTTTCACTATCTAGTTCAATACCATGTTCTCTAAATACAGCAAGTCCTAGAAACACTGGAAACTATTAATATGAAGGTAAGTTCACATCAACCATCTTTTAGGTCTGTATCTGGTTTTCTGAAGGGCAAAAAAAAGAAGACAATCTCAGCACTATGCTGATGATATATAACTTGGTTCTTGAGTTTACAATGTGAGCAATTCATTGTGAACTGATAAATAATAGCCACTAATCAGATAAGAATAACAGTATGGTACACAGCAAAAAAAAAAAAAGAACATCAAAATTTATCAAGAGAGACTGTTCGCTTGATAACTAAGTTAGTCTTTATTTATGACTAACTTTATTTATTTATTCATTCCTGTTCCTTCTAGTAAGGACTTTCTTAGGTTAGAAAAAGCAAATGTCATTTTTCTGTAGCCATCTAATACATAAGGGAAAATACAGAAGGTAGAACACAGGTTAGAGACTCAAGAGCCCTGTTCTGTCACGGGCTGTGGGTAAACTTTGCAACAGTCACTTCCATGAAAAAGGAACTTTACACTGACCTCCTCTGCAAAGTGCTTTGGGGTTTGTAAAGTGCTAGGCATTGTTATTGCAACAACTATCAACTCCTCCAAGGATTCAATGGCACGACTGCCTCTGTTCAATAACTCCAATCTTAGTCATGAATGATCTGCCTTCATGATAAACAGGGATAAATCTTCATGAAAAAAGTTGGAAGCAAGAAGATATTGCCTGACTAAGGCTTTCACCCAAACAGAAACCAACTTTGCCTTTCCTATAGCTACCTAGGAGCAAGCGGATGAGATCCTTCATCTAATGGTCTCAAGAGAGGAAATCTGCTACAAAATGTGAAGTTGCAAAACAAGTTGTTTAACTGCAAAGGAATTTCTTTGATGTTGGAACTGAAATGCAATGAGATTTTGTTTGATTTAGAGGATGTAATTTATTCCAAAACAATGTAACAAGCTCATTCAGAGTTGTCAGAAATAAGAAGGTGAATGTTTTGTTCCAGCATATGGTCTTCAAAATAAATAACAGCTTTGTTGCATGCATTTCTTTAGCCAGTTAAGAGAACATGAAAAATTATCTGACAAAGTACAAGCTATCTATTAGGACCTTTGCAGTCTTATCTACAAAGAAGTTACACTGATAAGTTAAAAGTACACAGGTAAAGGATGTGGGTTTCACATGCAAGCTGAAGAGAACTTACAGAAGTGACCAGAGCTGGAGTGTATTCAGACATGATTCAATTAATAGCTAGAGTATCAGGAGGAGCTTGTTTCTTGAAAGCTGCAGAGAGAGTTTATAATAATATCTACAGGCTATAGGATTAAAACGGATGAGTATGCCATCCTACTTTTATAGCATTAATATACAATATATTGTACTTTCCTGGAACGGAGGCAAAGAAACCATCATCCCAGGTCTACTATTTTAACCTTCGTGGAGGTTTAAAAAAAAGCCTATACGAAAGACATAATACTCAGTTATGAAGTTCGCTTAAAACCAAAGGAAAATCCCCCCCAAACCACATAATAAAACAAATAAATCCATTAAATATATTCAAAAAATCCCTTTTATGCCTAAATAATGAGTTAAAAGCTGATAAAAAGTCATGAAATAGTGTCATAAGTTATACGGTCAGTGCCTTGATAAAGTCACATTAAAGCTATTTTCGTCTCAGTGGTGGGGAGTGAGAACCAGCTGAATACATTATATTTGAAAGAAAGGCATTGTTTAAAAACTCCCAGATCTTATTTTAAAATTTTTTGCAATATTGTTGTCATTTTCTATTCTCTGTCCTGCTCTTCCAGATTTTGGTATAGTTCGCTATCTTTATTTATGAGAAAACCCTGACTGAAAAGCAGATGACACAGTCAGGAGCCAGTAGAAAACTTTGCTGTGCACTGTTACAATATACTGCATTATTGGTATTTAATAATGGAAGCGGAAAAGCCACACCACGAAGATCCCTGTGTGGGGAGCTGACTTTTCCCAGGTGGGATGCATCAGACAACACACTCCTCACCAGCGCTGGCTGGCTAGCGGAGGAGGACGAGGACCACATGCTCAGCCTCCCTGGCCCTCTCTCCTACGCCGTATGGAGAGCCCCGGCACAAGCAGCTCCGCATCAGTCTGTGGAAACGTGCTAAAGATGCATAACTTCTGGAGACCGCACCGTGCTGCACAGTGGAAACAACCCTGCACTGCAGAAACCCCCCGGGCTGTTAAAAGACAGGTTCATGTGAAAACTGGAATTTGGGCTAGGTGCCCATATGGTGGTGGCAGAGGAGAAAAGGGTGAAAACGCCATTATTCTCCGCCTCGTTTAGCTGCTTTACCTTTATGACATCCTCATCGGCTGATTTGCATTCAGTGGACTCGGAAACATCGACCACTGCCCCATCCTCCTGCACGGCAACAACCTTCACTGGAACAGACACCGTTTTGCCCGTCAAGATGGCTGTGTTAAGGACTTCCGTGTCCTGTATGCACACACAAAAAAGGAATGGATGTTAGAGAAGCACAAAGACATAAGAATGCCAGTGGAGTCAGACCGATGAACCAAACCCTGCCTCTGACAGAGGCCAGGAACGGGCAGAAAAGCACGTATAGAGTGATCCATCCTTGCACACGCTCTTTGAGCACCTGGCAATCAGTGGTTTAATAATTTCCAGAGCCAGAAGTTGTGTCTAGCCCATCATGTTTTGGTCTTGGCAGAGATAACGGGCTTACTCTTTCCGAGCCCGTTTTTGGGTTTGGCTGCTGTGGCAATAAAATCCCTAATGCAATCATGCAAGAGGGCACATCTGCAGCTTGGCAGAACCGCCGCGCTGCTCAGGCACAATCTTCAGAGGGTGTCGGCAACTCTTCCCACCCGTATGTCCCAAATTATGCCAGTGATTTGGGAGGTGATAATCAAGCATTACAATAACAGCATTTCTACCCTTACACAGTTCCAGCTTTTTCCAGCTAAGGAGTTATCAGTTAAACACTTTCCCTTTTCTGGACTTAAGCGTATGATGAGAAAAGCTACGCATGAGGTGAGGTACTACAAACTAGGCAATGCCATATACAAGTTTTTTTAATCTTCCCCCATCAAAATCCCATCTAGAGATGTTTTACCACATTTATCTCTACTCTTGATGAATTCACAGTTCTGGCTCACTAATGACTCCATTAACACAGCCTTCCTCCGCATCTCAGTAAGGCTGCAGTTTGATTAATTACTCCAAATGAGTTGCTACAATCAGTCCCTGCCTTGCGTTAAGTAGCTAGGCAGATTGGAGGGGAAGAGCCTCCGAAGGCCTCCAGAGGAGCTGGCCTCTGCTTCAGCAGTGCTTCCTGCCAGGCCCAGAGCCTGACACAAGCGAGCGGCAAGGAACGGTCTGTGCTTTCTTCCACAGAGGTTCAGCCTCAGCTTTCTAGAAGAGCCTGCAACCGGAAATACTGCTTTACATCAATTTGCTTTTCATTTTTCAACTTCCTTAAAACTAATTGCTTGCCAACTGGAAGGGGAAAAAAAAAAAAAAGTTGCTTCCAACTAATCTAACTTTAAACTCCATGATTCTACCAGCAATTGGTAGAAGAAGAAATGGATTTTAGTGAAAAATTTGATAGCAGCTTGCATAGGCATGGAGCTATATTCACTATCATTTGCTTCTCTCTGCTAGCTAGATTGATAGAAAATAATGGGCATTGACCACAAGCTAAAGACAGCTGGAGAAGAGCAATAAATAACAGCAACTAAGATATATTATTAATCAATATTAGGAAACTTCTACAAAAAGTACCCTGAATTAAATGAGTTCAAGTACTAATACCACTAGTGCCAGCTAACTAATATAGTCTACTAGAGCTTTATGGGCAGTCATGTTCCAGAAAAGCACTTAAGCGTGTACTTGAGTCCATTTCTGTTCAGAACAGCCCTAAAAGTACATGCTCAACTTGACAACTTAGACTTCAATGTGATTTAAGCGTGTGTTTAAGTGTTGTCCTGAATAGGGATGCTTTTCTGAATAATACCTCATGAAATAAATATACTGTCTCTGTTCTGCTCTCTGCGAGGCACAAACCAGATGTTTTACACAGTAAATGACTGTCTAGTTTTTGTTTATGCTGAATGGGCTCATTTATAACCAGCTGCCATCCATGAGGGACGGACACTGGGAGAGAGAAATATGTGACAGAAGGGAAAGTGTGAAAGAACAACTGCAAAACCTTTTACAAAGTCGGAGCTTGGAACAAAACTAAGAAGGAAATGAATTGCCATGTGAAAAGAAAACAATCAGAGGCCTCTCAGGCAGAATGAGGTTGTGTAAGACAGATAAAGACAAACCAAGGGCGCTTCATCCACAAGTATGTCAGAGAAGAGGTAAGTTAGATTCACCAGACCAATGGCAAATATCCCATAAATCCTAAGCCATCAATCTGATATAAACATAGTCTACATACATGATTTAGACATAGTGGTTCTGTATCCAAATGCTCCCAAAAAGCAGTTTGTTGGCATACGATTTCTAAACCACTCTTCAACAACAGACATCCTTCTTCAGGGAATCAGGGGAACGGTATTTTTGGCAGCATCACTAACAATCGTAACTAATTCTACTTCCAAAACTCCTTTTGTTAGCATAGCTATGTAACTTCTACGCGTCAGGGGCAGGGGGTGTTTATATCCGATTACGGTACGATCCAAAGCCCTGCTGAGCCAAAGACAAAATCCTTCTTTTGACTTCAGTGGACCTTAAACCAGCTTCTCAGCAGGCCTGAACTAATTCCTCCTTTGGTTTTTGCACTATTTGTTGCATCACCCTCCTGTAGACCTCGACGCGTGACGCAGGACAAACAAGCCCTATGGCTTCCTTTTCAGCTCTTAAGCGCTGCCTAGCTACGGCGCTGAAGCCAGACCGCGACGCTCCGCTCCGAAGGACAATGCCAACTTTACCGAGAGGTTTCGATTCCTTCTGCGAACGCCCTGTGAACGGGGACGCTGCGCACCAGAGGAAAGGGCTTGGCAGGGCCACCTCGCCGCCCCTCTGCCTGCGGGTGCTCTGAAATACGCTCATCTTGATCTTGACACAAGCGCTGCCCTGCACCTCCCCTCCTTCTCAGCAGGTACGGAAACCCGCGGTGCTAATGAGCCGCCGCTGCCTCACAAAAACCACACTTCAGTCGTAAGCAATTCTACTATAGAAATCAATATTTCAGACGCCTGATGCCTGGATCGAGTGTTACACAAGTATAATAGGCTGCGTAAAGACCTTTCTAAGAGCTGGCTATTTATAGACTGAAAAAATATATTTCCTTTGGGGAAGAAATATGAAGGCAGAACTGAACTAATTGACTGTCCATTAGATTTATAAACAAACTTTTTTTTTTTTTAGTGCCTCTTCAACAAGTAATAGCATTTCATCTAGATTCTGTTAGGCTTGTGTTATATTTCCATGATAGGGTTTACCGCAGAAAAAAAAAATTACTGAATTTACGATACCTGTGCTGGTTATTACTGACAGCATCTGAAATCTAGAAGGGGATAACAACTCCGGTTTACATGGGCAGGTGCTCCCCCGCGGCACAGCTTCCCTGAGGCATCTGGAGCAATGTCCAAGGACCACCAGCCCAAACTTCAAGCCCCGGATGCCACTAAGTCCCAGAAGAAAAACCAGGGATCCCTTTTTCCTGTCTCTTTTGTGAAGGGTTTCAGTCGTGAGATCTTGTCCAAAGCCTGCAATTCAAGCAGCCCGGGCACGAGCTACATATTCGTATTGCAGGCTCTAGCCCTGAATAATAATTACGTGCATGTTTATCTCCAGTTCCTTCTCTGTACCTGAACGCATTAGCACTTCAGCAGAGCTCTTCTTAATTACAGCTGTAACCTGCTAATAGCATTTCTTTGTTGTCTGAAGGAATCTACTTCTTATCCAGCCCAGGCTAAATTAAAATTTAATACAACATCAGGTCGCAACAGAACTAGGAAGCAAATGACAGCTGTTTAATTAAAACCTAAAGCTGATTAGATGGCACTACTGAGAGAAATACTCAAGAGGAAGAGCAGAAAACTACTGAAACTCAAGGCCAGGATAATAGCTTTATTTAAATATGAATAAACCCTGTGCACAGCCACTGTAAATGTTTGACAACTCATTGCTTTGGACAAATGGGGGGGAAATGTGAATGGGAGACTTGTCAAGAGTCATGATAAAGCTGTGATTACCAACACTGCTATTAACCCCGTACGTACGTTACCAGAAGCAGGGATTATTGAGGAACGACTGCAATGGACACACGTGAACCCCTTCTAGGAAGTCCGGGCACAAAGTAATTAGGCTTTAAACAGCACCGCTCCGGAGGACGAAGCTCTCCCTGCAATACACGCACAGCATGGCCTGCAGAGGGGCTCTCTGACCAAAAAGTACCCTCCGCCCATGGAGTGGTTCCCCGTATCCTGCACCATACAGCCGCCCCTGCAACACCTTGGCTGCCTGGCGGGCTAAATCCCCCCCACCTGCAGCTCTACCGCAGCTCACCTAAACACTGCGAGCTAACAGTGATGCAGTTTCTCCCCTTCCTGGTTAAAAAACAGAGACACAGAGAAATAAGTTAAGCATCTTATAAGAAACATCTCAGGAGCCAGGACCTGGACGCAGGTTATCTACAGCCCAGGCTAGAGCCTCCACCGCACCTTTCCTCCCTGCGGTCCCTGCGGGAACAGCCTGCATCCCTCTCCCTTCCGCCCAGTCTGGCCCAATTTGCTGTGATGGATATCACCCTTGTGATTAATGCATAAGGTGGACGGGGTTCTTTTAGAGGCTAACAAAACATGCTGCAGTACAGTAAACCCAATAAACACTCAATTGTAAATCAGGAGGGAAACCTAAAGCCAACCCTATTCTGCTGACAAACGTTACAGCTAACTGCCTTTTGGCATTCAGTTGAAATGACTGTCTTCAGTGAAGAAGGCATAGAGCTGAAGCATTTGCCTGCAGTATTGCATTCCTTCATTATTATTTTTTTCCCCAGAGTGTACCTCGTGAAAATACATTTGTAGTATTAGAAGGAATCTTTAGGAACCAGTTCTCCCGCCTGGTAATGGCATCTCTTAAAAAAGGTAAATTACAGGGCAGATTGTGGCATGTGGGCTGGGCTGGGGATTTATTTTTTTTTTTTTGATAAATTATTCACTACCTTTTTATTCAGATCAAAGAGCAAGGCAATATAAGTCCATTAAGCAAGCTTAATATATAAATTAGATGCTTTGCTGAAATTATTATAATCCAAAGCAATTCTCCTGTACTTTTTCCCCCACATTGCTGAATACTGTTTTAGGTTTGCAATATATATTAATGAAGCCAGGTTGGTAGAAAGCTATTTATATTTGCCACCACTATATTGGTTGTGACTCACAGGTAAGCTTTACCATTTTGTCACCTACGGGTAAGAATGTACAACGGGGATTATACGTTTGTTAAACATTAGAAAACAT